CCTACTGGGGATGTGCCCGCAACCAAGGTACATGCCTTTGACCGGAATCGAACCTGGGACCTTTCAGTCCGCAGGCGGACGCTCTATCCACTGAGTCAAACCAGTCAGGACTACTGTTCATTATCAGGTTGAGGACATTTCCCTCTGTTCCTTGTTTATTTACTGACAGTTTCTGTCATGAATGGGTGTTTTGTCAAATGCCTTTTCTATATGTATTGGTACGATCATTTGATTTTTTTTTATCCTATTGACGTGACAGATTGCATTAATTTTAGAATGTTGAACTAGCCTTGTATACCTGGGTCACATCCCACTTGATCATGGTGTATATAAAAAAAAAATTAGTTGTACATTAGGACTTTGCTTAAACCATCTTTATTTTTTACTTAATTTATTGGAGTGACATTGGTTAATAAAAGTATATAGGTTTCAGGCGTACATTTCTATAATATGTATATAATTCTTTCAGTACATTGTTGGATTCTACTTACTAATATTTTATTGAGGATTTTTGCATTTATGTTCATGAAGATATTAATCTCTAGTTTTCTTGTGACATCTTTGTCTGATTTTGGTATTAGGGTAATGCTAGCCTCATAAAATGAGTTAAAAAGTATTCTCTCTCTATCCTCCAAAAGAGATTGTAGGGAATTAGGTATATTTTCTTCCTTAAATATTTTGGTTGAATTCACCAGTGGAACTAGTTGAGCCTTGTGTTTTCTGTTTTGGAGAATTATTAATTATTGAATCTATTAATAGATGTAGGCCTACTCAGATTGTCTATTTCTTGTGTCAGTTTTGGCAAATTGTGTGTTTCAAGGAATTGATCTCTTTCATCTAGATTGTCAAAGTTGTGGGCATAGAGTTGTTTATAGTATTCCTTTATTTTCCTTTTAACGTCCATAGATTCTGTGTAGTGATATATTCTCTTTCATTTCTGTTATTAGTAATTTGGGTCCTCTCTTTCTTAGCTAGAGGCTTATTAATTTTCAAGGGACTAAGCTTTTGATTTTGCCAATTTTCTCTGATTCATCTCTCATTTTTGTTTTCTCCTCCCATATTAGATTTAATTTGACTTTATTTTTAGTTTCCTACGGTGGGAACTTATTTTAGATCTCTTATTTCTAATGTGTACATTCAGTGCTATAAATTTATCTCTAAATGCTGCTTTCACTACATCTCACAAATTTGGTTAAGTTGCATTTTCTTTTTATTTCAAAATATTTTAAAATTCCTTGTGATTGCTTTGACCTATGTGTTATTTAGAAGTGTGTTACTTAATCTCTACATATTTTGGGATTTATCCAGCTATCTTTCTAATGTTGGTTTTCAGTTTAATTCCATTGTGGTCTGAGAGCAGACATTGTATGATTTCTATATTTCTAAATTTGTTAGAGTGTGTTTTATGGCCCACAGTGTGATATATTTTGGTGAATAGTCCAGGTGAGCATGAGGATAATGCATATTCTGTTAATGTTGGATGAAGTAGTCTATAAATATCAAGTATGTGGAGGTAATTGATGGTGTAGTTGAGTTTAACTATGTCCTTACTGATTTTCTGCCTGCTGAATCTGTCCATGTCTAATAAGGGGTGTTGAACTCTCCAATTCTGATAGTAGATCCATCTATTCCTCTTTGCAATTCTATTAATTCTTTCTCTCATAGTTTGATATTCTGTTATTAGGCACAAACACGAGGAGGATTATGTCTTCTTGGAGAATTGATCCTTTTATCTGTATGTAGTGCCCTTCTTTACTCCTGATAACTTTTCCTTGCTGTGAAGTCTGCTCTGAAATTAATATACCTATTCCTGTTTTCTTTAGATTAGTATTAGCATGTTATCTTTCTCCATCTATACTTTTAATCAAATATGTTTTTATTTTTAAAATATTTTTGTTGATTTCAGAGAGAAAGGGAGAGAGAGATAGAAACATCAATGATGAATCATTGGTTGGCTGCCCCCTGTATACCCCACTGGGGATCAAGCAACCTGGGCATGTGCTCTGACCAGGAATCAAACAGTGACCTCCTGGTTCATAGGTCGATGCTCAACCAACTGAGCCACTTCGGTCAAGTGATGTTTCTCTGTTTAAAGTGAGTTTCTGTAGACAACCTATATTTGGGTCTTGTTCTTTGATCCACTCTGACAATCTGTCTTTTACTTGGTGCATTTAGACCATTGATATTCATATAATTGGATTAACTTCTACCATATTCCTTACTATTGTTGTTTCCCTTGTTCTTTGCTCCTGTTGTTTTTTTTGTTTGTTTGTTTGGTCTTCCACTCTTTTTTTTTCTGTCTTTTGTGGTTTTATTTGAACATTTTATGATTCTATTTACTCTCCTTTCTTACCATATTGATACTTTCTAAGTGGCTGCCCTAGAGTTTGCAATATACATTTATAGCTAATCTAAGTCTACTTCACAGATAGTATGAAAATAATACAGTTCATCCCTCCCATCCCTTGGATCATTGCTCTCATTCATTTCATTTGTATATAACATAACATAATTAAACACATTGTTGGTATTATTTTGAACAAACTTACTAGTAAGTTTTTTGGTTTTTGGTTAATCCTCACCTGAGGATATTTTTTCTTTGTGTGTGTGTATGTATGTGTGTGTATGTGTGTGTATATATATATATATTCATTCATTCATTCATTTATTTATTTTAGTGATCTCAGAGGGACAGAGAGATAGAAACATCAGTGATGAAAGAGAATCATTGATTGGCTGCCTCCTACATGCCTCCTACTGGGGACCGAGCCCACAACCTGGGCATGTGCCCTTAATCAGAATCGAACCCAGGACCCTTCAGTCCTCAGGCTGACACTATCCACTGAGCTGAACCGGCTAGGGCTGAGGACATTTTTCCATTGATTTCTAGAGAGTGAGAGGGAGGGAGAAGGGGCCGGGGAGAGGAGAGAGAGAGACATAAATTGGTAGCCTCCTGCATGCGCCCAGACTGAGCCTGGGATAGGGCCTAGGATAGAACCCGCAGCCCTTCTGGCATAGGCCTAAGCTGTAGCCACACAGTCCAGGGCAGAAAATGAGTTTTTATTGTACCTTCATTTCTTCCTCCTTCTTGTAGGTCCAAGTTTCTGACCTATATTATTTTCCTTCTCTAGTAAATAGCATCTTTTAGCATTTCTTGCAAAGCAAATCTACTGGCAACAGAGTCTATCAATTTTTGTTGAGAAAGTCTTTATTTCCCCTTCACTTTTGAAGAATAATTTTGCAAGACAGACTTTAGGCTGGTGGGTTTTTTCTAACATTTTAAATATTTCACTCTTGCTTGCATGGTTTCTGAGGAGAGGTTGAATATAATTTTTATTTTTGTTTTTCTGTAGCTAAGGTACTTTTTTCCCGCTGGCTTTTTCTTTAATTTTCTGTAGTTTGAAAATATGTCTAGATGTAGTTCTTTTGGCATTTTTCCTGCTTGGGATTGAGTTTCCTGGATCTGTGGTTTGCTACCTTTTTTAGAGAAACAGACATTGATTTGTTGTTCCACTTATGCACTTACTGGTTGACTAACGGGCCAGGACTATGGATTGATGTCTATTACTTTGTCACTGTTTCAAATATGTCTTCTGTTCCTCCTTTCTCTCTTCTCCTTATGATATTGCCATTATGCCTACGTTATAAGTTTCACAGTTGTACTACAGCCCTAGGATATTTGGGGGTGGGTAGTTATCTTCGTTCTTTGCTTTTTAGTTTTTAAGGATTCTGTTGAGATATCCTCTAGCTCAGTCTCTCCTTATCCTTTTTTTCATTAGAGCCCTTAGCATATGAATCTTAGTTTATTCCCAGCCTGAAAATTATAGCCTTTTTGCCCTGTCTGGTTCTGATCTTGCTCCGCTTCTTCCAATTATGTTTTTTAACTTTTGGTATGTTTTATAATTTGTTCTTGATAGCTGGACATAATGTACTGGGTAAAGTGAACTGCTGTAAATAGGCATTTAGTAATGCGGTAATGAGATGTTGGGGGGAGGGGAAGCATCCTGTAGTCTTATGGTTAGGTCTCAGCCTTTTAGTGAGCTTTGCCTCTGGACTGTGAACTTTACGTGTGTTTCTCGGGATTTTTTGTTTTTTCTCTTCCACCCTTAGGCGGAACAGGATGAGTACAGTGGGCTGGAGTTGGCTGTTTGTAGGGTAGAGGTGGGGTCATTTGCTCCTAGCTGCTGTCCAGACCACAGCTTCTACAACAAATGGATGCCCTGCTTGTTCCAGGGCAGCTCTAAACAGAGAGAAAGGGAGCCCCATCTTCTTACCCAGTAACACAGAGCTGTGGTGGAGGAGAGGGGCAAGGGACTAGTGCAGGATGCGGTTCAAATGCTGCCAACTCTCACTGAGAGTAGAGTTAGTAAAACTGAGATTTAGTAGATTTTCTTAAATGTGTCTTCCATTTGCTATGTGCTCTTAGGACAATTTCTAAAGAACTTAAATGATTATCTTTTATTATTTTCACCAGTTAAAAGGTGCTTTTGCTGGGGAAAGCATGTGTATGCAAAGCTCCTCACTCCACCATTCCAGAACTCCTGCCTTAGTTTGAACATTTAAAAGAAAACTCAGTGTGTGTTTGTGAGTTTGGGTTTTTTCCCCTCAAAAAATAGAACTCATGGACATGAGCAACAGTGTGGTGATTGTGGGGCTAAGGAAAGTGGAAGAGGGCATAGAGGGAATAAATAGTGATGGAAAAAATATTAAATTTTAATTAAGTAACCTTTTTTGAGCCAAACTTCTCAGGATTTTTTTTTGAACATTGGTATTTTAAAACAAAGGAAGAAATATGGGAAGGACCAAACATATAAACACACACACACACCCTTAGTTATACATTCACTTGTTTAAAGTATTTCAGGAATATGTGAAGCAAAACCTTATATTCTCAGTCCCTCTCTTTCCAAAGGTAACCACTGTTAAAAGTGTGTCCTTAGGGATTCTTCAGAGCCTCCAGTTATGAAAATATGACCCTGCTTCTTCTATTGTGTTTCTAGTCATTCATACCTAGAAAAATTCCTTACGGAGCAGATGATGGAAAGGAGGGAAGATGTGTGGCTTCCTCTCATCTCCTATAGAAATTCGTTAGTCACTGGAGGTGAAGATGATAGAATGTCTGTGAACAGTGGAAGTAGCAGCAGCAAAACCTCCTCAGTAAGGAGTAAGAAAGGACGACCCCCCCTTCATAAGAAACGAGTAGAAGGTAAGTTGCCTTTAAACTATGAGGCAAATCACTTTTCTGATATAAAGTAGCAAATCTGCTGAAGCAAGGTGATACTGTTGAGCACATTATTTCCTTGTATATTTGATACACAGAGATTCAGGCAAAAAGGTTGGAATAGACAAAGTGGGACAAAAGAAGCGGGGGGGGGGGGGGGGGGGAGAATGGATACAGAGGAAGGTAGGCACAGAGAAAAAAAGGACATAGTTACAAAAATTGATCCCAAACAAGAGTCCTCTAATACATTAAAACTTAAAATATTGTAATGAGAATGTTGTTATTCTGTCAGAATTCATACTAGTATAGGAGAAATTCTGGTAAGTTAAGGATAGACCTCTGCAGCAAATTAAATATATCAGAACAGCTTTCCATTTCTACCACTTGGGTGGATCATTTATTTTTGTATATTAAAATGGTGATGGCCAAATCTGGTTTTACAAAACTCATGAACTGGTGATTGGGGCATTGTATTATGATGAAAATGTGAGAAATAGTTGATATTCTTATAACCAAAAGACTAAAAAGAAATCGCTTTATTAGAACAAAGCATTATTGTTAAACTAAGAGAAAATTCAAAGTTAAATGCTTATTTTCTCAAAGATTCTAGGAAATTTTCTCCAAACCAAGAAAGGAGGACCGTGATCTGAATCCTATATTCTTGAAACTTTCTATATACCTTTAAGCATCTAACCCAGTGGTTCTCAACCTTCTGGCCCTTTAAATACAGTTCCTCATGTTGTGACCCAACCATAAAATTATTTTCGTTGCTACTTCATAACTGTAATGTTGCTACTGTTATGAATCGTAATGTAAATATCTGATATGCAGGATGGTCTTAGGCGACCCCTGTGAAAAGGTTGTTTGACCGCCAAAGGGGTCACGACCCACAGGTTGAGAACCGATGATAACCTCTGCTGCCTAAAAAATAGTGATTCATCAAAGATTTTGTTAAAATCTGTGGCAAAATTAGAATTTAATAAACTTTCATCATTGGGGAGGCAGTACTGACTAGTGATGAAAAGTCCAAACTCTAAAATCAGAGTTCTAGAATTCAAACCTGGCTTTCTCATTTTTTAGCTATGTGACCTTTTAGCATGTTACTTAACCTCTCTAAACCCCAATCACCAATCAAATGAAGGATGATCAGAGTACCTATCCTGTTAGCTATTGTGAATATGAAATGAGGTACTCCAAATAAAACACTTAGTACACATACGTATTTAGCTCAGTGCATGGCACATAGGTCTTCAATAAATGTTAGCTGCTGTCATCATCATATAGTAAGGCCTCTTATCTAGCATCAGTCAGTAAACTAGGCTGGCTGTATGTTTTAAACAGAATTAAAGTTTAAGATTTCCTTTCAAGGTTCAGCTATGGGACTTAAAATCTTTGGGGTCCAGTGAATGAAAGTACAAAACTCTGCTTTATACTGTAGGATCCTGAACTTTTCTTTAACCCTTTGCGGTCCAATGTTATTTTTGGAATAAACACTCTGGTCCAAATTAACTGACGGGATTGAATGTTGAACTTTTTAATGTTCTTATTGCTCGACGTTGGACCTGCTCCTAGCGCGTGGTCTGTCGAGTCAGCCTCAAGGTTGGACCGAAAAGGGTTAAAGATTACTCCAGTCATTTCCTTTTGAAAATGTCTAGAGCAGCCATATCCAGATAGGTAGGTAGATAGATGTATAGATATAAAATACATTTTTCCCTATTCATAGCTTTTCATAGATGTACTATTCATATAAATCAACATACATCAAATCCTTGCTATGTACCAGGAATGTGTTTTATGTGGGTTACATCACTTAATCATTCATTTGACTAATATTTGTAAAGCACTTAGGTAAGTCTCTGGCACATAGTAAATACTGTATAAATTTTTTTTATAAATCAACTTTGAGTTCAACACTATTATCCAGATTTTACACAGAAGAAACTAAGGCATGGAGAATTTAAATAATGGAGCTGTCAGGATGATTATCTTTAGGACTAAGAGAAACATATATGTAGACCAGATAACCTTAATTTGGTAACTGTTAAACTGCAAAAAAGAACACTTGTTTTGTCAGTTTGAAACTTACCAGGTGACTAAGGTTAAATGCCAAATATCCTTAGGAAGCAGAGTTTCATCTGTTTGATGTAATGATGAGAAAGCTTTGCAAGAAGTGTTCCCAGTGCAGAATATTTAAGAGTAGGAGGATCTCTTCAAGAAAAGTGGGTTCTTCCTGAAGTTATTATTTCATTAAGTCTTTACCAAGCATGCCCATTTTGTATATGAGAAACCTGAATTTGTGGAATTTTAACAACTTATACAAAGTCACACAGTGAGTAGTATAACTGAGACTCAAACTAGGCAGTCTACCTCCGGAGCCATGTTCAAGTCTGTGCTATAACTTCTACCAGAGTTCACTTCACCCAGGACATTCTTAACTGGAATTTTACAGATGAGAGCCTGGATAATACATGGCTAAATAGGACTGACACCATGATTCAGACCCCTGGACCTCTGCCAGCACCACAGCTCACTTCCACTGTCCTGCGGGAGAACAGCCGGCCCATGGGAGAGCAGATTCAGGAGCCTGAGTCTGAACATGGTTCTGAACCCGACTTCTTACACAAGTAAGTAGTAAAAGTTCGTTTTCTTGACATAAAACCTGTAACTGTTAAAGAAATTAAGAAAATCTTTTCATTCATCAGGCCATTTACAGGTCAGTTTCTGGGAAAACAAAACCACAAGTAAAGGATAAATAATTTACATGAAAAGATAAGTTACTCAAAGTCCGGAAACTTTTAAATGCATGATGCTTCACTAGATGCTACTTTCAGTTAGAGTTTGCACATCGTTGGGCAGGTCTGTTTCTTCTGAGGGTCTTGTCCAGAAGACATGCAGGTTACTTTCTTGGCAAAAGAGCTTATACTAGTCTGAACGTCACATCAGTAGGCTGTTCTACTTTTATCCATTTGATTAATAGTACTTACCTTGTTTAAGCTTAACATTTTTAACGGTTTTGGATTAAGAATTAAGATGTTAGATAAATTTGGAGAAGTGGTAGAATTAGTTGCCCTTTTGCTAAGAGAAAATAAAGATCTTACCTTTTTCCATAGTAGCAATTAAAATGTTTTCTAGTGCCAGGGCCCTGAAAAATGTGATTGCATGAATTTTACTATAAAAAAAAACAACACACACAACTTTTTCTATGTTGTTTTCCATCCAACTGTGAAATTTTCTTAGCTCTTCATTTGTGTTTCTATTCATCCTGGGGTGACTTACTCTGATGGATAAGAAAGAGAATTCTCACTCGAACTCAAGAAATTTAGCTGGTTGGAAATGGAAATTGGCAGTGTTAGAGTACCCAGATCCTGGTTTTTTCTTAAGACATCTTTCCTCTGAGGGTTTTCTTTAAAGCTGAAAGGATAATTGTCAGCCACTGCATAACTGGACATTCTTAGAAGGTGGTTTTGCTATATGACCAGCTTCCCGCCTTGCTTCCCTGACCTTACCATTTGTCAGTTCTTCTTGGCTATGGTCTGCCTTCTTTTCCCTGCTATAGGTTTACAGGTTTTATCAAAGTGGTAGCCCCACACAATTATGTAAAGAAAGCTGCTTAGAAAGAACTTCATGCGACAGATTTTATCTACTAAAAATCATTAAAGTTTACATCCCGTAAAAGTCCCAAGAGGCATGTTTATTGCAAGTGTTCATGTGCCAATACAAGTATTGAGTACAGGTGCAGAATTTGGCCCAGCATGCATCTAACTCCACATCTCAGAAGGACAGAAAAAACTATTATACCCTTCCTTTTCAACTCTGGAGGGTTCTGAGCTACCAGGCCAGCATCATTTCTGTCCCTTAGGGGACTGGCTGCCCAGCTAGGAACACTTGTGCATATGACAGCAGCTGAATACAGGGATCTAAGATGCACTCATTTGGTAGGGATTTGGGGAATGAAGCTGATAATTTAAGCACCTATAGGGGAGGAGAAAGTTTTTCTCTATTTGGCCCTGGAATAAATGCAGCTAACTCACCCTACATGGGGATTAGGCCAGCCAACTACAGCCTTCTTAACATCAGACTTATTAGCTAATTCTATTATCTTCTGCCACAAAATGAATAATAGTGCTGTCTCTTAGTCCTCAGATGCAGATCTCTTGGTTAGGCCAGCCAAAATTAGAAGACTTAAATCGGAAGGACAGAACAGGAATGAACTACATGAAAGTGAGAACTGGAGTGAGGCATGCCGTGTAAGTGACACATCCAGTATCACAAGAACATGACTGTGATGCTGGTCATTTTGTGGAATGACTTGGGATCCTCTGATGTTTGGTCTTAGGAGTTAAAATCATAATTCAGGATCTGCCATGCAGCATAGGACAGGAATGGAGGCCTTGGGCCCTTGAGCTGTTCATTGTTTCAATCCTGTGCTACTACTTGCCAGCTATGTGGCTTTGGGCAACCTCTAAGACCTCTGTGCTCAGGTTCCTCATTTGTAAATTTGGGATAATAGGAATACCAACTACTTAAAGTTTTGTGGGAATGGATACATAGCTAAGTAAATCTTAACTACTATTACTGTTATTGCATTTAAATTGTACTTCTAATGAGTTGAGATGAAATTTTGAGTGAACTGAATGATCTTTAATTAGAGTTCAATATCGTAATTTGTGCAGTCTCTAGGTTGTAATTGGAAAGTGTGCTTTCATTGGTTAGGAGACCTAATGTAAGAAAGAGCCAGGACTCACTCCGAAGTCCGTGATTCAGAACAGCTTTCCGACTATGCTTTTTCTTTATCAGTCGGGGCTTAATGGAGGAAGATGCTGAGCCCATCTTTGAAGACGTGATGATGTCATCCCGGAGCCAATTAGAAGATATGAATGAAGAATTTGAAGACACCATGGTTATTGATCTGGTAAGGAAATTCAATACATTTTTCTTTTGTTAAAATATGTGAAGGTGTTGGTTAGAGAGGAAGGGAGAGGGATAGAGAGAGACATCATCAATTGGCTGCCTCCTGCATGACCCCTCCTGGGGATCGAGCCTTGACCAGAATCAAACCCGTGACCTCTTGGTTCATGGGATGATGCTCAACCACTGGCCTCTTTTACTTTAAATCGGATACTGACAATATACTGCACTCCAACATGACCCAATAATGCAGAATATGGACTAGGTATTTTAAGACATTAACTTTGTCAGGAATAATAATACTTGGTGGTTATGTTTTTTAAAATTTCCACCCATTAGAGATACATATTAAAGGTAATTATAGGTGAGATTACATGGAGAAGAAAAACTGAGATGACTCAATGGAACAAGAGTTTTAAGTTGGGTGATGGGAACATGGGAATTCATCATACTACTTTCTCTGTATTAATTTGCTAGGGTTGCCATAAATACCACTGAGTGGGTGGCTTATTTTCTCACCGTTCTGGAGGCTAGAAATCTGAGATCAGGGTATCAGGAGGGTTGGTTTCATTCTGAGACCTCTCTGTATTACTTGTGGATAGCCATCTTCCTTTGTCTTTACACAGTCTTTTCTGTCTTCTTCTAAGGACACAAATCGTATTGGATTAGAACCCATAACCACCTTTTTCCCTAACTCTTTAAAGCCCTATCTCCAAATAAGTCACATTTTGAGGGGCCCATAACATTCTGCTTTCTATGTTTTTTTCCATGAGATCATGTCACTCCAATCTGTAACCTACCTTTCATCTACCTGCCTTGGGGAATTTAGTGGTTTTGTCACCTGGCATTTGATCATTTTATAGTTATGTTATGATTGGAGGAATGTTCTATGTTTATAGGCCCAAAAATTTATAGGCATTTACATATTCGATTGATTCATAATTTGCAAGTCTTTTTTCTTGTATAAGGGATAATTAAAAACCAGGTTTTTTTTAAATGTATGCTCCATGTAAAACCAGATTTATTTATTTTTTTTCCCAAAATTGACCTTTAACCGTTCTGTACATTTATGGTACCATCAGAAATACCAGCTGCTTATTATCACAGTTCGTTGTCTTAATGTATCTCAGGAATAAAATGAAATAATTTGGCTTCTCTTTCCAGCCCCCATCAAGAAATCGGCGAGAGAGAGCTGAGCTGAGGCCAGATTTCTTCGATTCTGCAGCTATCATAGAAGACGATTCAGTAAATGTTAAATTATTACTGCTTTTTATTTATGGTTTCTGGGCCTTGTTTTTTGTATGAAGTTAATAATTGTGTTTCTCATTTTCTAGGGATTTGGAATGCCTATGTTCTGAAGTCTGAAGAAAATTTACAAATATGGAACTCTATTATTTAGAGCTAGAGGCCTATATACTGTGATAGCTTGTATGGGGAATAAACACTTTTGATGTGATCTGATTTGTTTTTTAATCAAATGATTGAGGTCAATCCCCTTGTGCAGTGACAGAAGAGGAGCATGTAACTTACCCAAGGGAATGCTGGTGAATATCACCTCAGAAAGACTGACCTGAAAAATCATTTGTGTCCTAATATTGGACTTACCCAATACAGATAGACGTGTTTTTCTGGAAGGAGGAAAAAATTTTAAATTTTTAAAACAGCTGTCAAGATAAACACTGTTATACACCTGTTTTATGAAAACTCAGCATTGAGTAAAAAAATATTTTTAACTTTATTTTCCTGTTGTACAATTTAAAAACCGTTTTAACATTTTGCCTTTTTATGTTTTAAAAGCTAACCATTTTTATTAAACCTACGAGTAAGCAGCTCATTTTAATTGCCGAAGAGTGTTTTGGAGCTCACTGGATTTGGTTGACCTTGTGGAATACAGAAATATGGAGGAGCAGAATATTGACAAGCTAAGATGATCTGACAGTGCATCTCTGCCAAAACCACACGCCCTCTATGGATATGGATTCCCAGATTTTATATACTCTTGAATAAAAAGGTTTATTTTTATTTATAACGGGGGCATAAAATAAGAAATGTCCATGCAGCCATTTTTCCAACAGATGCTGTACACCGTTCATTTTATATAGAATAGGGAGATTCAAATACAGTACATTTTCTATTGGTATTTGTTCTGTGCATTTTTAGCAACTTCTACCAGCAAATAAAGTATTCTCAGTAAAACAAAAATGGTTCTCAAGTTATCAGTTTGCTGTTTTATCACTTATTTCATGCCCTGCCAAATTGAAGTAACATGGACTTCCATTTTCTTAAAAAGATAATCACACAGAACTCCTTTGCCATGCAAAAGTAATTTTAAGTGTAACATAACTGTGTCTACTTCCCATGCACTTAATACCTTTATGCGCTAATTTTGTGAATTAAGTTTACCGATTATAGAAGTATGTGCTGCATAGAAGTCTGTGCTTAGAGGGTGAAGTTCCTAAGCTTACCTTGAAATACAGCTACATTTCAGTGTTAAATGTGCATATTGAGAATAATTCTTTTGGGGAAAGAAATTATGAATCTTCAGGACAGCCTTCAATGGTTTAGAGTTACAGACTGCTTAGATCTTCTATGACTTGCTGCTATTGTTTTTAAAAGCCCACTTAGTTGCTTCCTTTCTGATTTTTAAAGTAAGCCTCAATTTCCAAACCAATCCATCCATAACTGTTTCTGGGCTTGTTTTTAAAGTAGCTGCAACAGAATCATGAGGTCTGCCCTTTGTACCAAAAATGAAAAGCATTTTTTAAAATCTGTGCACCCAATGATTATCTTTTGTCCAGGAAAGAAAAATGGATTTTCTTCATCCTTTTAGTAAACAAACACAAAACAGATTTTTCTCAACATTTGTGTAGTTCTGAAAAAAAAACTCAGTTGCCAAAAATGTTTTATCTGCTGATCTAGCAATTCCTGGGCTCCAGTTAGGGGTAGGGTGGGGTCTTGCTTTCTTCAGAGATGTGGACTTCCTTGGAAGTAAAGGGGCAGGAATGCCCGGGACAGTCCACCACGCCCGCCCTGCCTGTGGTTGTGGCCAGGAAGCAAGCTGGAGGTGCCCTGCACACGCACAGATTGATCCTTTGCTTGACAGTCTCATATGGGAAACAGATGCTGACTTAGAATCGTAGACTCCCATGCAACAAAAAGGCTTAACATCTACTCCAATGGGTTCCCAGTTCAGTTTAAAATCAATCGAAATTTTGTATTTTCAGTGTCTCCTTGATTGGTTTTGCTAGTAATTCTGTAAATTGTACATTTGCAATATGAGGTTTTTTTCCTTTTGTACAATTTGAAACTGATGCTTCACCTTTCCTTTAATAAACTATTCAAAATCAGGCTGTGGTAGTCATACTATTGTTCCTACTAGGAAAGCTTTAAGGATTTTCTATCCTGCTGCCCTTGAGAGTTTGCTCTTTCAGATAATTGTTAAATGGCAAAGTTACTGTCTCTGAGAGATTTTTTTTTTAAGAAAGCAGAAATTTAGGATTAGCTTGTTAATTTTCTTTCATTCCTCGGATTTCCCATGAGAGAATGGGTAGGCCAAGTAGCCTTGGTTTCAAGGCTGCGTTTTGGAGGCGGCATCCAGGGACTATCCACTGGTCTGTAGCCTGGGTCCTCCCCTGGCCTGAGATCCAGACAGTGGTCCTTTAAGGAATGGATTCTGCATGGCTGTAGAAGGAAGGGTTTTTCTTGATGCTGGTGCTGGAGGTCACACTTAAGAGGTCACACATTTTATGGGCCTGGCCATGTACTGCACGCTGTGTTCATTAGGTGACCCAAGTTGTCTGCAGAAAAGACAGGGGTGCAGGGGATAAATCAGCAGGTGAGCTCTTAAGGCAGCTAAGGAGGGAAGGTGGTAAGGATGGGTTTGTCTCCCTGGAAGCTCATCTTAAAGGGTATGTTTATAAAACAAGAGCAGTGCTTTATCCCTGTGTGACTACTTTGGGACAAGCTTTTACTTAACTGTAACTTTGAGTCTGTCAAACACAGAACAGCATCTTCTTGGGAAACAAAGGCTTGGCCAACTCAGGCTTTTCAGTATGAACAACCAAAAACTCAGATAAGCTTCCACTGGTATCCTAAGTGCCTTGTTCTACAGGGGTCTCTCTCTTAGGCATCATGTTTTGAAATACAGCTTTCTGCTCCCAAGAACACATAAAGGAGTCATTTCTCACCAGCACAGTAGGGACGTGGTCAGAACCTGGCTACCACATCTGCCCAAGTGTGTTGGCTGGACTCTACAGAGGCCCCAGACTGAGATGCTATGCCTATGAAGTGGCCACAGCACTTGGCTTAGGATGATGGAAATCCCATACTAACAGGTGAGAGAGAACGTAAAGACCAGTTCTCTCTAAAAGAATACAGCCACAGCTCTCCAGAAATCCTGTGAGACAGAGGGACTTGAAATACATTTGTCAAACAGGTATGGTCTAAACTGGTTCCAGAGTGGGGTGAGGGTCCTTCAGAGGCTACTCTGAGTGGGGAGACTGCATCTGAAGCACCAGCATCGGTGCATCTAGAGGCAGAACGGCTGGGGAGACCAAGACATGGTCAGAAGGGAAGCTGGAAGAATGTTTCTCTAACAAGCACTAGAAAGCTGCATGTGGGTGTGTTCCCCGTTACTCTAGCAACACAGAAGATGACTGGCCGTCATGGATAAGGTAGGAAAGCTTTTCCAATCCAGTAGCTTTTTGAGACCATCACAGGGGAGCAGACCAACACTTCCCATCCCAACCCTTAGGAACTCATCCCACCTACCTCATCATGTGAGAGGCAATACTCTGAACAGCTTAAAAAACAGGCTTGGGGTTCAGAAAGGCCTGCCTGGGTTCAAATCCCAGCTTTACTCAGTTGTGTGTCTCGGGTCAAACTGGTTTACTTAAAGTAGGGACACCTGCAGTTTCTACTACCCTCTACAACGCTCAGTCTACAGACAAGACACTTGCCAGCACTCTGCTCATTGACCCAAGTCCTCTCTGGTCACAAGAATCAACATGTTTCCTTTTCCCCTTGAGGTGAGACCACCAGTTGGGAAAGGCATTCCTGCACAGCAGTCAATGCCAGTACTCACTGTCACCGTTCTCTAGGTATCCTGCGGTCCACAGAGGCTGGTCTACTTGACAAAGTTTCCAAAGTCGCAGCTTCATGTTTCCTTGGCCACCAGCTTGGTTTTTGGATGCAACTTCTCCCACTGTCTCTACTCCAAGGCTTTCTAGAAGCCTCCTGCCCGAATGCTTTACTGGGCTGGCTTCCCTGTTTTAGCAGGCCCAGGCACAAAGCTTCTCAGCATCCAGATTTCACAACCTGATAAAACACAAGCTTGTGTTTGCTCTTATTCTTAACATGGACTATAGTACAGTCGTTCCCAAAATAGATCAAAGCCTAGACTGGCTGGCCCCAGGCATGTTAAGCTGTTGAGCCACACAGTGACCAACCTGCATGATCCTTCCTTAGCCAGGAGGCCTCTAAAAGCCAAGTGGTCTGCTTCACCTCGTTTCCAAGCTTACAGTGTTCGTGTCAGCTCTGTACTAGGAGCCAAAGAGGAGTACAAAGAACCTCTGGCCAACACAGTCTCTGCCCCTCAGGAGCTTCCCGCCTAGTTAGAAATACAAATATATGTAAAGGGGGGGGGGGGGGCAATCAGGTGCTTTAAGAAAAAAACCTGCTATAAGCAGAATCAGTTCAGAATTTAAGATGAACTCATGGCGATGTCAGGCCCTTGAGCATGAGCAGACTACAGAGCAAGTGTTCCAAGGTGGAGGCAATAAGACTGGGCTCAGAAAACTCACTAGGCAAGCAAGGGAGGAACAGACAAAAAACTCTGAGTCAAAGACTGGAGAAGAGCGTACTAACCACTGGAAGTGCTAGAGCAGAGGAATGCAACAAAATCTGGACCTGCAGTCAGTCTATTAACTCAGAACAGGCTTAGGAGGAGGCCAGAGAGATGAGAGTAAGACAACTGCAAAAGCACAACTAGAATGGAGAGTACCATTCTTCAATTGGAGAGGGAAGAAAGATGCTCAAAAGAACTTAAAAAAATAAACTCCCAAGGACTTAAGCCTGGCTACCTGGCATGGTGGGGTAGCTGGTAGAAATGGGGAACGTGGATGATGTCACATATTGGCGTTGGTCAAAATGAGCTTTAAATGATGCAACATCCAAGCAGGGCTTACAGACCTTTGGAGCCAAGGGGCTGGAACGAGGGAAAGTCGTCAGTGGTGGGAGGACCCAGGGCTCTCACCACAGAAGCAAGCACGCCCTCTGGGGCATACTGGAACAGCACTCCACGGTTGGTCTTTCTGTCGGAACTACTTAGAATCTCCAGTTCTGTATGATTCAAAGCTTTACATACTCAATAAAGTAGTCTACAAGGGCGCGGGGAAACCGACAAAAGACTCAGATAGCCACCCAGTTACTGACCCAAATAACCGTGTACCTTCAGTTTAAAGACAGAACTACAAGAGTCCTGAACTTTACCTTGGGGTTAATTGTTGACATGGTTGTAGTGGTTCTGAAACTTCTATATTTATTGTAGGATTGAGCAAATGAGTAAAATATGTTAAAGATAATGGAAGTCAGTTTTATCACTGTGGGAGAAAACAGACATAAATATGGAATAGGGGAAGGCAAAGAAGAACCAGTATGTTAGATTGGAATTAAAAGTCAGCATGAACTCATAATTTTAAAATTATATATAAAATAAATGCATACTTACACATGCAAGTTCCCCACATACATATATATCCACATATTTGTATAATCATTTCCATGTCTTCTGAAAATAGAAGCAATGACACCCCAGATTCAATGTGAACATCTGCCAATTAAAGCTTCTAAATGACATCTAAAAGAAGCCAGGGCTCTTGGAGAAATCCCTAGACTATGCCAGGGCTACATTATTGTGTGTCAAAAAATAAGGAAGTGCACAAAAAATTATTGGGACATATCAAAAGCATCAAGCCAGCTTGAAGGAGCTCCCAGAGGCTAAATCAGGAAATTTTCTGCATCAAAATAAATAAAATTAAATTTTAAACAAATCCAGGAGTCTAAAGTTTTATTAAACATTCATTCATTAAAACATTTATGAGCCGAGACCGGTTTGGCTCAGTGGATAGAGCGTCGGCCTGCAGACTGAGAGGTCCCAGGTTCGATTCCAGTCAAGGGCATGTACCTGGGTTGCGGGCACGTCCCCAGTGGGAGATGTGCAGGAGGCAGCTGGTCGATGTTTCTGGCTCTCTGTCTCTCTCCCTTCCTCTCTGTAGAAAATCAATAAAATATATATTAAAAAAAAAAAACAACCATTTATGAAACACCTACTGTGTACCAAGCACAGATTTTAATTATGAATAATATATGGCTCCCAATCTCAAGAAACTAACTCTTGGGGTAGGTAGGGTAGGGACGGGGCAGGGAGAAAAACATAACTAACTTGTGCTTGAAAATTTGATAGGTTGATGGCATAGTAAGAAAAATTAATTAGCCGAACTGGTTTGGCTCAGTGGATAAAGCGTCGGCCTGCGAACTCAAGGGTCCCGGGTTCGATTCCAGTCAAGGGCATGTACCTTGGTTGCAGGCACATCCCCACTGGGGGGCATGCAGGAGGCAGCTGATCAATCTCTCTCATCGATGTTTCTAACTCTCTATCCCTCTCCCTTCTTCTCTGTAAAAAATCAATAAAATAAAAAAATGTGGAAAAAAATTATTTCAGGAAAAATGTTTTTAAAAAATCAAGGAGTCAAAACTAATACTAAAACAAAAACAGAAGAGAAAGTTCTTCCTTCCAATACAATACCAACTAATAAAGGCAGACATTATGACAAGGTTAGAAATGTGATATTTTACAATCAATGTAGAATAGAATTCATCATCAATGAATACTAAAAGTATTGGATAAAAGTTTGTTGACAGACAGGCTTTAAAACAGTTTCCAGATTAGTTATTCATTACAAAGAGAAAATGTTAACCTTGCAACCACCACCTTAACCAAGTGATCTGAGTCAACTTCACCAATAAAGGGAAAAACTAACATCACCTGTTTCCTAATGTGATACACAGAAACAACACTCATATGTATTGCTCTTACCTGAATCTGAACATCCAGAAACAATCAGACAAACCCAAATTTAAAGACAGTCAACAAAATAATTGGCAAACACTTCAAAAATGTCAGTCATAAAAGACTATATATATAAAAGCCTAAGCAACCAAAAGATCGGTTGACCAGTTGCTATGATGCACACTGACACCAGGGGGCAGATGCTCAATGAAGAAGCTGCTCACTGGTGGTCAGAGCGCTCCCACAGCCAAACTCCTGCAGCTGGCCAACCTCTCATCA